GCTTTGTGGCCCTCTATCCTGAGGCCAGCATCTCGTGCAGTTCTGGGAAGTCTGCAGACCGAATGCCAGGCTGGACATAGATCCCTTTCTCGCTGTCATGGCAGCTTAGGCGCCGACGGAAGGCGATTCTGCCAGCGAGGGCAGGATCCGTAGAGCACCACCCGCTTCTGCCTCTCAGCTCAGTCCGTCCACTCAAGCAGGAGAATCAGAAGGCGGTCCATGGCACTAGCAACATTTGCTGCATCCTCACAGCATCAGAGTGAATGTGAGCGACTGTTCCATGCCTCCAGGTGCAGGACCTCACAGGCTCATTGCCAGCTGTTCCTGTTCCTGTTCCTTTTCCCCGTTTCCTCCCAGTTCCCTACCCGGGAACCTGCCTCAAGCACTGGCCCAGTGTCATGCGGATCCTGAGCCGACCCATCCGGGGCGAGTGCATAGCATCATGGACATCATGCAGACAAAAGGTCGTAGATTCACCAAACAATGAGGGTCTGACAGGAGGAAGCACTTCAAACTCGAATTCAGCACATTCCTCCGTTGTCGCGTCGAAACCGTGAAGTAATTACCCAAAAGGTTGAGCCGTCGGTAAGGATGGAACCTCCAATTCAGCATTTGCTTTCGGTGAGTGTGGCCTGCCGGGTAGAATCCACAGGAACGCTTAAGTCTGCACGGGCTGATCTCGCTTGAGAAGGATGTGTGAGGAAGTCCGCTGGCGCGGGCCTCCGGAACGCGCTTCCAACGTCCACAAAAACATCAGGCCTTTATGCAGCTCTGCCACAAAGCCATTCAATATGACGGAGGCTTGACGGAGTTTACGCGCGCATGCCTAGCGCTCAGAATCTAGCCCGGCTGCGGAAGTAAGCGCCCCCAGGAGCGCCAAGCCTTGAGCATAAAACGTTCTGCGAAACAAGAGCAGAATCGACAAGCAAGGGCTAAGATTCAAGCGCAGCTCCGCCTGCAGATCCTGCAAGCTTTCCTTGCAGACTTCCATGTCTGAAGCCAAGTCAGAGCATGTCTCATTCAGCCTCATGCAGCTTGCCCCAGAAGATCACCTGCCGCGTGATGAAGGGCTGTGCTGAAGTCAGAGGCACAATACCAAAAAACACAAACATGGCCGCAAGGATGTGAAGCCAATAGAAGTGGCTTGTAAACACAAAACATTCAAGCTTTCTAAGCATGGAAAAAGGAGAACCCTACTCATCATCTGTAATCGAGCATCGTTAACAAGCTTGGTCCTTGGGCAAAGAAGCATCACCCCACCCCATGGAGCCACTTTCCATTGGAGCCACTTGTCAGTGGCTCCTGGTTTAGTAAGCCTGATAAGCACGGGCACACATTTATGATTATCCTGCTTGCGCACGGGTCCTTCCCGCGCACCGGCTGGCGCTGCACGCCTGGCATGCCGTAAAACAAGGGAGAAAGCCTAATCTAGTTAGACTGCTGAACGGTGCCCATGCGGCTGGTGCTGCTGGATGAGGAGAACCAGTGTGGGCCCTTGCAAGGCTTGGATGGACTAGGCCACGCACACTGCAACACGTGTCTGAATGTGCCGACGCTCGCAAATTGTGCCATAAGCCTAGGTAATCACTGAGCGCGACACGTTCCCAAACCTCAGCAAGTCAACATGCGTTGGCGTCAAGTAGCAGAACCCACGTTCCTTGAAGGTAGGAGCCAAGAGGCAGGGAAGGAAAAGACCAGGAACTGCTTGAACCCGCAGGCAGAGCCTTGCATGACATCAAGGTGAGAGGAAGGAATCTCGATAAAGCTGACCCCAAGCCATGATCGAGGGCTTGCCCATTGAAACTGACATGTGCTGAACATCCACAGACCCTGCTTCTGCTCATGGTCTGAGGCTGCCACGGACAGAAACCATGGCATTTACAATTCACAAGAAAGCATTTCCCTGCCCACCCGCCTCTAGCAGGCCAGCATCGCATGCCCGAGGGAACTGCGGCAGGTACGGGCACGCCGCATCTAGTATAGGAGTTCAGGAATTATGCACGGGAACGTCTTGCGATTACAGCCATCACGCAAATTGCTGCTCCAGGATACTTCTGAAGACTTGGTGGGCGCGTGCGCATTCCATCGCGTGTACCATGATTCCACACACGCAGTCGGCAATGCTGCGGAGTCCTTTGCACTCCTGCTGTACGATGGAGCTGGTAGGCCGCACCTCATTGGACTCATGCTGCAAGAACAACATCGCCGCCAGCCTCCCTCCGTGCTGGACAGGCCAAGACTTGAGATCATGGAAGACAGATTGGCAGCTGAACGGGTCTGACAGATTCAGGTGACAACATGATGTGAAAGTCTCTCCTAAAGTGAGCACAAATCCTGCTGGCTCTGTCAACACGATGTTGCAGTACAAGCATCATCTGATCCAGCAAGATGCCGCAAGTAAGGGCACTGCAGGCAGTCGATTCGCCTTCTCTGCACCAGCTGTCTCGCTTCCGCTGCCTCGCACAGTGGTGATTGCAAGCACTTGCCTAAGTCAAGACAGCCTGTCTCTGCAATGGCTTGGAGATTGCTCGCTACTCGCTCACCTCCGCGGCAATAGCTTGGCCATGATTGTCATCTACCTGACGAGCGAAACACGTCCGAGATTTTAGATTGCGCTCTGAATTTGAACGGGTCCAAACAGATTGCAGCCTCACTTGTAGTGGCTGGCTCTTCGGCATGACTCGAGCCTCTGTGGATTCAAGAAACTAGATTGCAAGGAACTGCTGCCATCAACAGGCAGACTGAATAAACACCTTGAGCAGCTACAGCCGTCTTGCACACCTCAGCTTGTGCCCTCATGAAGAAATGCACTCAGCTACCATGCAGCTGCTGCTGCGGCTGCCGTTGCGGCGCCTGCTGCTTCGACTTCTGCTGCTACTGCTGCTGCTTCAACGATGGCTCATTGTAATCAGATGCTAATGCATCAGCTAGTACCACTTCCACTATCACACTATAGCATCTGCTGCTGTTGGAACAAGGCTCTGACAGTCAGGAGGGTGATTGCCGCTGTCTTAAAAGTGCATTTAGGACCGCATCGAAACCTGTATTGGAACCAGTTTTCAAACCTATATCTCAGCCCATATCTAAACTGCATTCGAATCTTTATTTAAAAGCATAGATTTGCTCGACACCCTTCTCTCGTTACTTGGTGGGTCCTGGGAATACCGTGTGTTCAGTTACAACTTGTCTGAATCCACGTCAGGTTGATAGGCCTGAGCCATCGCATCTGTATCTGCACTTTAAGGCATGTCCCTGAAGCCGCATAGCCCCCAGGCTGGGACATTTCCGATGCACTCCCACACGACACGGCGGAAGGGATCACACCCACGCTCTTTCGATTTGCTTTGTTACGATCTTTCGGGGGGGGGGCTTCAAATCTTGACTTGAACACAAACCCTTTAAATGCCTACGAACCCTTGCAATGTCTAGCCCACTCAGTGCAAGGGAGTAATGCCAGCAAGTCCCTATCACCTTGTCGAGCCAGAAGCATGCGCGACGTTACATTCTGCATGCTGGACCTAGCTTCTCGCCACAATCGATCCAGACCAAGGGGAAGCAAGGTGTGCGTAGATGAACATCAAAAAACCACAGCATGAGCAGAGACGCAAACCCCCCCCTCCCTCAAGAGAACGCCTGGCCCTTCACAGCACCACAACAGCACCACACCCATGCAAGGAGGCGAAGCCAGCAGAGTGCCAAACGCTACAGGCCAAGGCCAGCAACATCTGCAGGATCGTAGTGCAACAGCATGCAACATCACAGCCAAAGTTGCAATTTCCATCCACTTCAACGGTTTTTTTGGGAAGTTTGTTTTCACGTGTAAGTTGAAAGGAGCAGAACCGGAAGCTGGTGGAGTCTGCCCGTTCTCTGGCCAGAATCGAATCGCGAACCGCCACACCAAGGCTGATATGGGGCATCACAACCGAAGTATGGCATCCATCAAACCTGGCAGAGTTCTCTTGAATAGAATCATCCTGAGCTAGCGGCGCTCGAGATCCGTGGACGATCGAGCCTCGGCCTTGACAAAGGTGCCAAAGCAAAAGCACGAGGCAGTGATGCGACACACAGCATGCCAGAAGGGGGTAGGCGCACAAAGGCTGACAGACCCCTGCTTGCTCTCTGACCCTGTGCAACGCGAAAAGTCCCAGTACTCCTCGCAGAATTCTGCAGGCAATGAACCGGGGTCTGCGCCAGAAGGCGCTCGCCCCAGACACTTAACTGTGCAGCTGCTTCACCTTCATGATCTCCATGCTCTCATACACAAGATGCACTTCAGTATTGGCTAAGTCTAGGTGTGCTCCCGCAAGACTACGCAACTGGAAGCCCAACCTTTCGAGTCAGCATCAGCCTGGCAGCTCAAAACAGACTGGTCCCCATCATCATCATACGGCAGGGGTGCCCAAATGCCTCGGAGGCGTTTGAAAGAGATCGGTACCGCATTCTTGTGACGCCTCAGCACTCTCCGTATGTCCGTTCCAGAATCCAGCCACCTTGGAGAGTAGCCCTGACATCATCCGCAGTTCATCAATTTTGGTGCGCGCACTTTTTGAGCATCGGCAGAACATCCGATCCCGGCAAACATTGCATGACTTCGCGAACAGAAGCGCTGGGGTTGCATGTATTGCCGCCTGTTATTTGGTTCCTTTCCCGCCCAGTCGCGCAACAAACGTCCAAAACTGTTGACAGCAATGCACACGTGGTGCAGGTGAAAAGGCCAAGATGCTTCTGCAATTGCAAAGAGCCGCCAACACTCAAGAAATGATAACAAAATGCAGGCCTCCCTCATTTCTGAGATCCCTGCCGGTGCAATAAATGGGGCGTTGGCAGCCTGGAGTGTGCTCAGCCAACGTGTCTAGCTAGTGCCGCTGGTTAGGCTTATGATATGACTTGTGAGCTACAACTCGGCGCAGTAGCGCTTTTGCCCTCACGCATGCACCCAACGCCACAGCCGCGAGAACACATGCGGCGCTGGCTATGCTGGAGGCAGCATGGCATCTTGCTCATTCTGCACCCCAGCTAGTCACATCGACGTCTTCTTCAAAACCAGCGTACGCGACGTCGCTCTCCTGCACAACTTCTGGATGCTAGACACAAACGGAATTCCCTCGCCTTCAACTTGGGATCCATCCTCTGAACACACGTCCTTGACGAGCACCTCGACTTTGGAGATGCAGCCCAACACTTTGCCTCCAGCGAGTTCCTCCAAGATTGCGCAGCATGCGAAGCTACACACCTTCTTGAAGAAAGCTAAGGCAGCCAAATCCTGCGCCCAGTACTGCTTCAGCCCAGATAAGAAATGCCTGTGGATAGCCTGCAAGGCTGGTTTGAACAATTATGGCTTCTATTCAAAGTAAATAAAGTGTTACAACAAATCTGGCATCACGGGATTTGGCAGCAATCACACCTCTGCCATCACCTCCACTGTGGTGTTTCGTCGGGGGTTCTGGAATTCTTCCTTTGCAGCAATTGAGCACCCTCAGCGACGCATGTCGTGTCCGGCATTCAAACATGCGTCGAGCATGTCCAGGTTCTTGTGATCGTACCGCATCATGATGTCTCGGAGCAACCGCTGGCCCACACTGATGTCCATCAACACATCACCTTCTCCCAGAGACCTGCAAGTTTCATTGCTCCGCATGCACCACACATACTAGCTCTGCAGGTGCCAAGCTAGGTAGAGGAGACGGTCTGCATGGGCTGCCTGCCGAAGACTTTGACCTGGATCACGGCGGTGCAGCCCGTAGTGAAAGGCTCACTCCCACCTTGCATTGCATTGGCCACTGAAATGCGGGATGGCAGGGAATCCTAGGATGCCTTGGAGGCCTGATCATGGAAACACCAAGGATGTTGACAGTGCGTACCAGCTTCCAAAGTGAAACGTGTGCGAGTACATGCAGCGGTCCTGCACGCCGATGAAGTAGGTACCGAAAGCTCTGACTCGATCCTTTGTGCACTTCAACTGTGTTTTGCTTCTCCATATCAGCCAAGATCTACAAACACCAAGCCTCAACGCATGAATCCCTCATGATAGCAGCACCCAAGCTTCGGCAATTCCATGTGAGCGTGTCATGGATCCTCTCCGTACTGCATCGTCATGTCTAATGCAAAGAACTTCGCAAGGCTGCTTAGGCTTTCAAATGACGGTCCTGCGGAGAAACGGGGGCAAGGCCGACCGTGAAGGGCCAAAACAGGAAGCCCCATCCGCCACATGGCCATATGGGAAAATTGCACAGGAAATGCAACTACAAAACCTGTGCAACGGGGTTGCTACAGCTTGAGATGCGCGCGCGGTAGCAAGCAGCTATCCTGGGCATGTTCCAAAACCAGTGTGCAACGCTTGCGCATGAACATTGCTCATTGCATGCCTCTTGCCTCCTCTGGTGGATTCATACTCCGGCGTTGGGCACAGAATCATTGCCGAAAGCCTGAGAGCTTTAGGTTTGTAAGAGGCTGCCAACAGCCATCGACAGCCAGCTCCACTAGTCATTCTCGTAATCTTGAGTGCTGCGCGCGGCATGCTCGTTGGCACAAGCTTCGGAGCTATGAAAAGGATTGCAGCCAAAAAAGTGCAGAAGGCCAAAATTCCATGAAGCAGCTGTGTGTAAGGCTTGCTGGGTTTGAGTGTCACGGCAGTAGCAGCGTTTTACGTCGAAGGCTCCACTGCAAATGCGAGCTGGGCCCAATTCAGGCAGAGAGAGGTATGTTCAGCAACACATACTCTATGCAAACTAGGACGGATCAGACTCAGGCTAACTCTCCCTGCAAAATCTGCCATGAGTGCAGGATGCTAGATAGGCTCAAAGAAACACAGCCAAGCCACAAATTAATCTGTGCACTTTCACTTTGGCAGCATGTGATTGCTTGGCTGGCCTGTGTTTCCTGAGCCTTGAACTCAAGCTTGCGCAAGCGAAGCGGCTCCGTTGGAGCTCTAAACACATTTTCTCAGTATGGGATGGAAGCTTTGGCTCTGTAGTGCAGGCTAGACAGCACTCACCCAGTAGAATGTAAGGTCTCCAACTGGCTGTTGGAAAGTTGCCCAGCTCAGGCAGGCACGCGCACAGCATGCTCAAATTCAGACTGAGCTGTGAGGCAAAGAACGACAAGCTGAAGAATATCGCATATAGGTGCGGTGACGCAGGTGACACAACCTGCTCCTTGCAGCGCCTCGTGCGCACCATGGAATATTGGACTTGACTTCTGCAGTTCTGGGCCCGATACAATGGGTTGCACGGGAGACGCGGCAATGTTCGAAGCATTTCTAAGTCTGGTGTTCTAGCTTGGCATTCAGCTCAGGCAGCCTGGCAGCCAAGGCACAGACAGATCCATTGCTTTCTACCACATCAGGCCAATAAAGCTTCTGCTGACAAGCACGCTGTATTCCACAGCTTGTCCTGGTCCGCTCGTCGAGTGTTATTCAATGGGAACCTGCCGCTGTCAAACCAGCAGTAGAATATCCAGTGTGGCTGTGTGGAGAGACTGCGCGCACCATCCCACAGCCCCAGTCTCGAGGTTCCTGCCGCAAACCTGGGCAAGGAGTTCCGCCAAAGGAAGTTGTCTGCAAGCGCCGATTAGACTCTGACCCATCTCTCCAAGGAATTGTCGTCGCCATCATCCTGACATGAGATGCACAACTAGATCCCTCCTTCGTGAGACCAAACTTTCTCAAACAAATGCTCCTGAATTACCTGAATCGTCTCGTTCTGGCAGAGTCTGAGCTCGCCTGCCCAAGTTTCTTTCTTCCTTTCGTATGGGCTATGGAGCAATCAGCCTGCCCAAGTTCTCCCTCTCTCAAAGCCAGCCCAGTGTGAAGCGGAGATTAAGACCAGCTGCCTTACTGCAGCTCTATGACCCACCTCTTGCCTTCAGACTCCGGCTCAAATTCAATGGTCACGACACGATTGTATGGGACCTGCATCAGGTTGCAATCGCCAGGCAGAGACTCTGCTCAGACTTGCCGTTTGAAGCCTGCGGCTTCAGTTGGCTATTCGCTGAAGGAGCTGCGCGGCCCGCGACTGCGCTGGCGCCACCAGCCTTCTAGCGTCAATTGGATCCGTTCATACTGCGATGTTCCTCTAGTGCCGAGGAAGGCATAGGGAGGGCTTGATCATGTTATCACCGAGCACGCCTATCTAACCCACCGATACATTTTCCTGAGTGGACTTAGTGCGGTTACGCACGCTTGTCACTAGGTGCACTCGTGCACTACACAACAACTTGTTTCAGCTTTGCTGCCCTGTCCAAGGATGGTAATGTGGTGGGAATTTGCAGCACTCCTACAACTGTTTACTGAGGGCGCAGCCAGGCTCATTGGCCGCGAAAAGCCTGCGGCGCCTCGGGAGATTTACTACCGTCTGCTTTCAACTTTCAGCGGCCGAAAAACCTTGTCGCGTGGAAGGGGTGCAAGGCACTTGAAATTTGATCTTGTTTTCCAAGAACGACTGCGGCCCCAATCCAGAAGGGAAAGCTCGATCTTGGTGGAAGCTCTCAGCATTTGGCTGCTGGCTTTGGGCGCGAAGGCCTGGCTGGGAGCTCTGGAACCTTGGCCACAACAAAAACCCTTTTCAACTCCTTTCCACCATTCTGGCCCTCAGTGCTGGGCCGGCATAAGCATTCGTGCCCCCAAGTCGAATGCTGGTGGCCGCCTGAGTACAGACAGCTCAGCTGGATTGAAGAATGGCTCTGGCGATGCCCAACTCACGCTAGCTTCCTGCCCTACGCAAATGCTGTTAACCCCATCACTGCGTGAAGGCGAGATGCTCGCGTTGAACCTCGCTCCATTGCGGAATCTGCTGCACCTCACAAGACGGCTGTCAGTCTTGTTTCACTTCTGCATTGAACGCGCTTGGTCCCGTTTTGCTGCGCTCTGCCCAAAATGCCTCTATGGTGGTGGTGGTGGTGGTGG